AGTCCTGAAGTCGCAATTAGCAGCCTTGTCACTGAACCTGTCAGTGTCCCCTGCCCATGTGCGCGCAGGCCCTGCTCACAGCCTTTACTGACATTGTTCACATCCTTCCTCAGGGCCTCCCTGGACTGGCCAGCAGCTTCTCGCCACCTGCCCTTCCCCACAAGGAGGGAGCTGCTTCCCCGCCCATCTCTGATCCGCCTGCATCTCCGGGACTGATAGATCTTCTTGGCAAAGCTGCCCCAAAGATTCCTGCTAACGCCTGTCTGTTCCTGCCTTGTGTGGAGCGGGCGCCCACGGGACTCCGGAGAGAATCTTAAACCCAAAGCTCTACCGTTGCTCTGGACGGCACCCTGTGCGCTCCTGCCTAGTCCCTCTCGGCTCCGGGAGCTGCTCACACCCCAGCGATGCCCACGGGAGCCTTGGCCCCAGCTGGGTGAGACCATTCCAGAGTGGGCCCCAACCTTACCAGCCTCCAGGACTCCCTCATCACCTCCACCACCTCCCATGTCCGACCGCCCAGCAGGCTCTAGGATGTCTGTGCCCCAGATCCAGGTGGAAGAAGTGGTGGTGGGGGAAGAGGTGCTGGCGGGAGCAGCCCCGCCTCCTGACGACCACCTCCGGAGCCTGAAGGCCCTGACTGAGAAACTGAGGCTGGAGACCCGCAGGCCCTCCTACCTGGAATGGCAGGCGAGGCTGGAGGAGCAGGCCTGGCCCTTCCCCAGGCAGGCTGCTGAGCAGCGGGAGTGTGGGGAGGAAGAGCCCTCCCTGCCGCCGAGAGAGCCCAGGCGGCACCCGCCACCTAATGCCAGTGCCAGCCAGGATGCCGGGACCGGGTCCACGGGCAAGCTGGAAGGCTTTGAGAATATCGACGAGGCCATAGCCTGGCTCAGGAAGGAACTGGTAAGTGGCTGCCCCTGCAAGGATCCCAAGATGCCATTCTCTGTGTGTGTGTCTATCTCTATCTCTGTCCCCCTCTCTCTGTTTCTGACCCATCTCTACCTCTCCCAAGTGCACATCTGTCATTTCCTATTAAATCAAAGGTAAGCTTTATTGCCATGTAGTTACACGACATCCATGCATCAATAAGCCCCTGACCACAGGTACTTATGAAGCAAGTGTTGCCCATGAGAACCTGAGCCCATGAAGGTGTCC